GGTAAGAGAGGCCTTGGTAGACCTGGTGCAGGCTACATGCAAGATGGAAGAGAGGGATGCTGTGGTGTGGCACAAGCACAGGGAGGCTGAGGAAGGAGGGCGTGAGTTGGTGTGACCGCAAGGAGGCTGAGGAAGGACGGTGCGGTGCGCAGAGAGGCCAGGAGGGGGACTTACCAGAGAGACTTGTGACCTTCCCTGCTGGGTTTCCCATTGACTTTGCTTGTGGGAAGCCAGCTGAGAAGGTCACAAATGGCGATCACCTGACCATGGGATGCTGCAACCGTCGTAAGTGCAAGCTGGTTGCCAAGTGCCTGAATCACAATCAGGCTGGAACTTTGAAGACCTACTGTAAGTACCCTCATTCAGCGCTGTCTCAACTTGGAACAGTCGTTGAACAAGTGATCAGTAAGTGAGGACTACCTGTACTGTACTTGCTGTAGGAAGCGCCAGTTTAACTGCCTACAACAACTGTTTTTGCTATAGAGTGAAGAATAGATACTATAGAGTGAAGAATAGGTGAAAATAATGAAAACATTAATTGTATGTGTCCATATGCAACAATGTAGATGCACAAATAACTGGATATGTTTACAGTCAGTTCAGGAACCATAGAGAGTAAGGAAGATGATCTTGACTGAAATACGCAACAACTGTTACCTAGGTAAAAGGGGCTGAAATATTTTTTAAGTCCAGATAACTTTCCAAGACAACATTCAGAAGAGACTCAGGCAGATGCATCGCTAATTCACTGGATTTTATTTGCAAGATTTGGTTATTATAGCCAATCTCAGTAACAGTAGTTTTAACCTTCTGGAGTTGATTTCCTGGGCTGGTCTACCTAGTGAGGCTGACAGCAACCTACCTATAATATGGGGATAACAACACAAATCTGTTGTTCAGTGGCAAATCAAATAAATAAACAAATAAAAATAATATAGTTTAGTTTTTTACACAAAAAACTCATTTCTGTTTCCCATCTTTCACTTTCAGGTAGTTAAATCATTGTTAAGATACCTTGTTCACAAACAGCAGGAGAATCCTGAGCTCTACAAGAATGGAAACTATCACAATCTCCTGTATACGGATTGCACAATTCATCACCATAGCATTTATTGCAAACAGAGGAACAGTTTATTCCAAAATATCCCAAGGAACAATCTGTGAAAAATAATAACAATTGTAATAAGAGTACGAATATTCACCACTAATAACTTCTATCAAGCAGTGCTCAATATCTCTATGATGGGGATCAATGGCTATTAGCCTTGATGGAAGTGTGACTATCTGCTGGGAGACTTGTGGGCTTCCTTTTGCAGTTGGTTGACTGTTGTGAGCACAAACTGCTGGACTAAATGGGCCAGGGGTCTGATCCACCAGGGCACTGCTTATATTCTTCTGTTATCTTAAGGATATACTGAATGAGTTTCCTTACCAGCAGTAAAAAAATAAGAACAGAAGAATTAATAAACAAAGTTGGAATAATCTATGAAAATTAATGTGTTTATCATCTTTCTGTGGAGTAATTTCAAAATATGTCCATATTTACTTAATGTCCAAACAATATAAGTGACATATTTTGACAAGTACTCCATCTGTTATATACATTTTCTATGCCAATTTTTCCCCAAGATTATTTTACAAATGCCCCTCACACATTTTTATATTATTTTCACTACTATCCATGTTTATATGCAATTCACAATATAAACATTTTAACTGGAAAACTGCATAACAAAACTCAGAGGTGTAAATATGTAAGAATTACTGTATTTAGTTCACATATTCCAGAAAGTACTAAGTTTAATAGTCCACAGTAAAACATGAAGCAGATGAACTTCTTCTCCATCAGTTCATCAGCTAACTCAAAGGTAAAAAGGCTAACAGTTAAGTAGCAACTCCCATTTATCCTTCAGCTATCTGCTCCATACAAATAAATTACTTGCTTCCTCTATTGCTACACCAAATTATTTTCTTTCTTTACATCAGAAGCCATAAAACTTAAGACCTTTAAAACAGAATAAACCATGCAAATTATCCAAACACATTTTTACTATTGGCTAAAAGGACAAATTTTTAATTTATCATTTGTATTTATTTCAGCAGAAAATCTGTCTGTGTTTTCCTTTAAAATATAGAAAATTCTATCAACATTACTTTTTAAAATACTCAGTCTAATCTCTACAACTGCAAATGATTTATGGTGGTGGTTGTTTTTGCTATACAACAGGATACATGACTGTAAATTGAGATCTAGGGAATATTTGGACTACTTAGCACACCTGATTTGACATATGCTGCAGACTGATTTTCCTTGCTTTTTAGCAATACTGTTCCTCTGGCAAGTGCATAGGCATTATTCCAGGTAGTTATTCCTTTACACTGCTCTCTAAGCTCCAAGCATGCTGTCTTTGCAGAAATCAAATCTGTGTGGACTTGAGATGTAGAGCCTTTTGGTGATAAGAGAACCTTTCCTTTGTGTTCTTGATATCGGTCAACAACTACAATAGAAAAAAGAATCCACTTACAAACAGCTGAAGTTATTATTCCCAAAGTTGACACATTTGCACCAAGTTTAATTCTTAATAAATGAAAAGCAAACAGAAATGAGATTCTATTGCTATACTGTATGGCAAATATGTACAAGCTTGGGTTTGTTTCTTCACTCTCCTTGGATGGAAAGAGAATGGAACACTAAGTTTTTCTCAGTAGAATAAATCAGTCAAAAATAAAGGAAGATAAATAGTTTACTTTCCTGCATTAAAGGCTGCAAGACGTATTTGGAAGACGTTGGATCTGTGATATATTTTTCCTTGTGTTTACACAATAAAGTTACAGTACACTGTGTGCACAATTATTAGGCAAGTTGTATTTTTGAGGATGAATTTCATTACTGAAC